TTTGCCCCCCCCCCCCCCGAAATGTATCAACTGAAACTCTCTTTTTACTTTTTTTCCTGTGGATTATTAGCAGCTTGTTTACCCACCCTCCTAAGAATATCTTTTCAACCTTACATTCCTACCTCTTAGCAAAATTAAAACTTTCTGAGAAATAATTTAATAATGCATTTTTGGTAGTTCTTGATTGTAACAGTACATCATAACACTCTGGATTTACAAATCAAAGTAGGTAACTAAATGTTTTAGCTGAATAGTACTCAAAAGATGAGGGGAACTGGACAGTGAGACATGATATTTCTTTGATCTTAGCCAAAAAGCAACCGAGATTTAGTGATGGAGTTGTATGAAATGTCCCATTAATCTCAATGCAAGTCATAAGAAGCAATAGTCAAAAAGACTACTCCATATAGCCTCAAGGTAAATATCTCCAAGATGAACCAGCCAATTCTGTCAGGCTAAGAATTTATCTCTTCTTGCAGAAAGATGAATGAGTCTTTCAGGTCCTTTTTGAAACACCTGGGCAGCAAGCACAGAAGAAAAATCCACTAGTCCCTGTATGTCCGTAGTGTTTTATCTACCCATTCTCACTTAATAATATTACAGGAACAGTCTCAGCTGCAGGTACTTTACAAATGAGTTTCTCAAATATTTCTTGATGACACTTCTCATTTTTTTTTTACCGTCTGCAAGAAAACAGGAGCAACCAGCAATTCCCAGAAACACCAGCAGAAGAGTAATGCTGCCTTGTCTGCAGGTGCACTGGACATGTTAATGTTTTTTAACTCCCACCACAGAGATACAGGTAGAGAGACTAATTACTCCTACCCTTCACAACCCACATATGCCTTTTCCTTCCCACATGGAACAGAAAGGGAATGGCAGAATACAGCAAAATAATACAACACAGACAAACGGAATGAGAGTAGACGACCTTCACCAAAGAGTTCCCAACTATCATGATTGTATTATAGATATTTTCCTACTAGCTCTCTTCAAGTCCTAGCCATCACAGCAGGGTGGATTATGCAAAAAATACCATTTCTATTTAGTTTTAAACACCTTGAGGTCAGAGTTAAAATAACCAAACCAGGAAACTTCACCACAGCTCAAAATCAAAAGTCAGAATAATATAATGATTTTTATCGATCTTATTTTGCACCTTGACTTCTGATGCTGAACAGTTCGGCGTGACAAGTCTGCTGTGCCCCACCACGAAAAGAATTTTTCTAACTTGTAGTTATTAGAGGTTGTCACCGAAAGTTCAAAGAGGTTGTACTGAATGGACAAGCAACAGCTTTTCAAGCCTCTCTTCCACAGCAATCTGTGTGACAGCAGCCACTTGCAGCCCACTTTATTGCTTTTTTTCCTCGTCAGTGGCAATGGCAGGATGCATGATTGCAGTTAGCATGCACACCTCTCAGCAGCTATTCTGAGGTCCTCAACAAAGGCAGAATTTAATTAAGATGTCTTCTCTTCCCCCTTGAATGTTGGTTACAAAACCAGCTTTGGCATTAGCTGATGACAGCCTGAGTGCAGCTCTTGCTTTAGAACAATTATGACACTTTATATTTTGCGTTAAGAATATTTTCTTTCACAAATATAACGGTTTTCTCATCTCCTTCCCCACCCCTGGGGGTGCCAGGACTGATCTCCAGAAATTTTGCAGGTTTAGAACAAACAAGGGGTCAAATCTTGAATATGGGTGTTAAGAATTTTACCCTTGTGTTCAGGCATAGATGAATTTAAAAAGCTGAAAGAACAATGGTTAATATGTCCATTGTACTTTAACAGCATGAAAAATGAACCCCTTAGCATCAACTGGAGTTTTAAATTTTAGTTTTTTACCATAGGAGGGCTTTTTTTGCCTATCATTATTTATTTCTCCCTCCTTTGAGTAACGGTACTAAATAAAAGCCTGTTTGAGCTGACAAGCAAATGTTTAATGGTGGGTTAGTCTCATATCAATTCATATTCTTATGGAGAATAAACTGAACTAGCCAGTCAATTATCAGTCTGTCACAAAATGAGTTGTGCAGCATGTCAAATGAAAGCCAGTATTTGGAGGTACATTCAGCTCAGAGAGCATAGCATCAAAGTCGTGTTAACAGCTGATGGCTCCAGGTCCTTCACGTTTTATTTGTCCTTTATTCTTTGCATTTCCCTCCTGTAGCTTTTACTTTTGGATATTTCAGTACTAAAAATACTATTCACACTGGTCCAGAATAAATCAGATGTCTCTTTTTTTTAAGATTTCTGGTGCTCCAATAGTCACCATGACCTGACTGTCATTTCTTGCTCACTGATGTGATGATCAGCATTTGCTAGGAATCACCTCCCTCATCTATTAAACTTCATTTGAAGTATCAATAACATTTATATTCTGAATTAGGATTAAATAAAAATACAAAACTCCAAAAAACCTTGAATCCCCAGATTTCATGTGAGGCTGGGAAGCAAAACACCCACCCAAAGTACAGAGGATCTTCCCCGCTCCAGATCTATCTCCCAGCTAGTTCATAAGACCTGGAAAGTGTAAAAGGCCACATTTCCTGACTTCTCACACAAGAGTACCCT